TATATTGGTATTGGTGTTTTTTTATTTAAATTCAACTTATTCAAATTCATTTTTTTTTTTTTGTTTGTTCTAATGTAAATTTATTTTGGCTTTATTAAGTTTAACCTTACAAGTGAACTAAAAGATTTACATTCTCAAACTTTATTCAATTAGTTATCATTGTTTATTAATATGGAGCAGAGTCCTGCAAACGTTTTCTATGTGCTTACTATCGTCCCAGAAGATGATGACTGAAGTATCGAGGCTGAATACAGAGACAATAAAAACAGCTCTAAATATTTCCCAGCTTATTACTGTACCACAGGTTACGTGGATCAGCTGCCATTCAGATAAGAGGCTATTCATATTTTGGAGAAACTAAAAATAAATATATTCGGGACTTAAAACTGAATATAAGGCATGCTATGTTTGATTGTCAACTTTTTCTTAATCTTCTTTATTCTGTATCTAGATTCTGTGTTTGTGTTGTATTTCTATATTCTTATATTCATGAAGTCCGTGCACGAGTTCTGGGTTTGAATGGTTGCTTTTTGTTTCATATTCTTGTATTTCGCTTAAAAGAAAACTCAAAACAATCAATCCTTTTTTTTTTTTTACTTCCACGTGTCTACAGATATTTAGATGTTAATAAAAATAAATAATGATTTGGCCACCAAACGGTTGATTTTTTAAAGTTATGAAACTATATTTTATTATACATTTTTCAACAGGATTTCTTACATTTTTAACATTTTTTTCCCCTCCCATCATCATCTTGAAAGAAAAAGCTAAATATACTGGAACTTGGAAAAAAGTGCAAATGGAGTCCGTCCCAAAATGACATTAATGTACCCTGAGCTTTAAACATACCTGAATAGATTTTTTAAAATTAATTAATTATTATTGTTATTATTATCCCCCCTCAATCAAATAAATACTGTTAATATACTGTATATGGTGAGGTAATTTAAGTAGTTAATGAAAATTTTTATTGTAATATTATTAGAATCTTTTTCTGTTAAAAGTATGAATATTTGTCATTATTTTTATGCAATGAAATATTTGAATGGTTTCTACATAAAAAGTGATGTTTAATAAATATGTACTAATTTTTATATATAAATCAAGTTCTACATTTTAACTAGTTTAACTATAAGTGTGGAACATTAATTGAAAATGAGCAGTGTTCATTTGCAACACATTCACACTTTCCCTCCTTGTAACTCATTTCTGCATAGTCCTTCTGTAAGACACACACACAGACCAAACACATACCAAAACACAAACAACCACCCACAGACACACACACACACACAGACACACAGAGACACACACACACACAGAGACACACACACAAGACACACGCACTCAAACACAGACACACACCACACAGACACAGAGACACACACAGACACACACACACACACGCGCACGCACACACACCACACAGACACACAGAAGAGTCGATTAGCGTCGGTGGACTTGAAGTTGAAAAATGGTGTGTATTGATGTCTTTCCGCATTTTAAATAAGATATCTTCTGTTGTTCATTCATGTTTATTTTGTGCTATAACTAGTAGTAAAGAGGAAGAGATGATCGGTTTGCGCTTGAACTGAGGCACTACAGCGATCTGTCAGGTCTTTGTGAAGAGTCGATTCCAATGGGAAGCAGATTTACGTGTTTAGACGCAGGTCAGATGTTCAGATATCAGGTATATATATCTTTCGGTGAATCGTTACATCCCTACGCATAGTATTTGTCCATAGTTTGTCTTCAAGCATATTAAAAATACCAGATGTAAACAATGTTAACTGACATGTAAACAATGTTAAAAACTTGATTTTCACCACAGGGGGTCTTTACACACATAATACTTCTTGAAGCACCTGAAGTCGTAATTACGACTTGCTGTCAACTTCAACAACTGGTAAATACGAACTTTCCAGGAGGACTTGAACACACCATTAGGACATTTCATTTCAACCCATTGCACAGTTTCCTCCAGTAGATGCAACCCTCTACGCACACCTTGGCAATATAATCGTCATTGGCTAGTAAATTTTTTTGTGTACTCGCCAGACTGATATACTATTTTACACACACACACACACACACGTTTACTTAGCTATCTAAATGGGGACATGCAGTTTTACAGAGAAAACGCTCACAAAGGTGTTTACTAATGCATTTGTGTAGGGATGTAACGATTCACTCAACTCACGATTCGATTCGCGATACTGATTTCACGATTTAAAACAAAATTAGATTTAAGACAAATTATAAATGAAAAGGTATCCTTTTATTATTGCTTTGACAAAATGCTGCACATTTCTTTGTGAAACAGAAATATGTCAAATAACAAAACTAAATTTAAATTTAAAAACAAACCCCATATCTAATCAAAATATAAGACAAAAACAAATAAAAAACTCTTCATATAAACAAAGGATTTGCCTGTGCTCTTTCCATTCAAAATTAGAGGCAACCACTGCATTTGAATCACAATCCAAGCAAAGATGCTGTATACATGCAGCCTGAGCAGTTTTTTAAATATAAATTAGATTGTATAATTTGACATTTTAAAACAAAAACAGCATGCTCCGACAAATACAGCAGCAGCTCTGAATGAGACGCAGATTCACTCTCTGACAGCAGGAGGCGCTCATGGAACAGCAGCGTTTCCTTGGATACCGCTGTAAACAAAGCAGCGCTGCTTCATTAATATGCATTATACAGAGACGAGATGAAAATAAAATATCTAAACTTTTCTAAAGACAGTCAGTTCCCCTCAAGGATACATTCATATAAACACCCATCCCCAAATGTATCGCGATTTGTTTAACATCTCAACCGATTTGAATCGTCACAGATTTGTATCGATTTTCAACCGGCTTTCGGTGAATCGTTACATCCCTACGCATAGTATTTGTCCATAGTTTGTCTTCAAGCATATTAAAAATACCAGATGTAAACAAGGTTAAAAACTTGATTTTCACCACAGGGGGTCTTTACACACATAACACTTCTTGAAGCACCTGAAGTCGTAATTACATCAACTTCGACAACTCGTAAATACGAACTTCCCAGGAGGACTTGAACACACCATTAGGACATTTAATTTCAACCCACTGCACGGTTTCCGCCAGTAGAGGGCACTTGTCCACTTGTCTTGTACAGAGAGAAGGGCAGAAAAAAAGAGAAGTGAAACGCAGTAGTGATTGGACCAATTTCTTCACGAAACGATTCACTGCTCTGAAGCGATCAAGGCACCAGTGACGCCTGCTGGTCAGAATAGTGTAAATGCAACAGAAACTCAGACCAAACTGCTTAAAACCAGTTTTTACAAATCCGATCTCAGAGAATCAGCATGATTCAGTTGTGACGAAACAAAGCCTCGTTTACTGAAGTCACGTGACTTTGGCAGTTTTATAGGCGCTTCGAACCAGTGATTCGAAAAGGTTTCGAAGCTTCATGAAGTAG